CCCCCCCCCGCCCTGCCACCTTCCAGTTCCTGCTGGGGCATTGCAGGGCTTGGCTCCGCTTCCCTTCCCTCCTGGACTGCGCCCAGCCCCAGGCTAAGCGATAACCAGTTAGTTATAACCAGTTACCACTGGGTTTATCAGTTACATGATTAATCCTTTAACTATCCATATCCGTAAAGTTACGAAACAGTCTTTACTGTGACAGTACTGGCAAATAGTACAGTTGTTCATAGGTGGAGCAGATTGACATTTTTTTTCACTAAATTTTTCTAAAGAAAGGGTTAGTTTCAGCACCATTTCATTTTTATTCTCCTAATTGAAAAAATTAAACATTTCATGTCATCAATATGAAAAATGTAATGCATTTTTTAAATTGAGAATTTCTAATCTGTTTAAAAATGTTAAATCATTTTCTTATATATTTTTAAAATGTAAGAATATTGCATTCTGTGAGATTTTTTTTCTTGTAACCATTTTAAGTTTCTTTTCCAATTCAGATTCAGAACTGTTTAAGTTTTGAGCAAAAGGAAAATATCTCCTCCCCAGTCAGCCCTAGTCCTAATGTTATGCAATAATGAGAGAGAACTACAAGAATGGGACAGCTAACAGTGTTTGAAGCTTAATCATAAAATTGTACATCTGTCTGAAAATATTTTGCACGTTTTTGTTGGAAGTAGCTGTCAAAATTGTTAGATACTTTAATTACTCAAAGGAAATAAAGGACTAAGAATTCTTAGTTTATTTACTTTGTAAATTTTGATAAGCCTTTTGCATGTAATTATTTTCACTCCTAATTTTGTTGTTCAGTTCCTCTCTTATGGGAATGTGACAACACAAAAACAGAAAAAGAGAAATATGAAAAAGCAAAATTTGTTTGACTCAGTGGCATATGCTGTAAGTGATCTTGCTTTTGAACTACATTAGATATAAAGTTAATAAACAACTGCAGGGACTAAAGGATTGTTGTTAATTTTGAGAACTGCATGTTTTAATTTTTAATTAAAACAGTACTTGAAGCATTCCAAATGCAAACCATCTCAAAATCGAACTGTCTGGTGGTATTTTAGTCCTAGTTTTTATATTTTTACATTTTTTTCTCAGAGTTTGAGAGTCTTTAAATCTTTCTTTTCTTTTACTCTGAAAGTAGATTTACTCTGAGAGTCTCAGTGCTGTGACTTTTGGTTCTGCAGAGAAGTGTTTATTTTATTGGTATTATTATTAAAATACTTGAAGTCTCCACATAAGTATGGAAGGTTGTTTTATTATACAAAAGTTCATTTTTACAAAAAATTAAAGTAGTGCCAAATGTAAAGAAAGGCTCTTTAAAATGTTCTACATTGTCTACACTTTGTTAAAAGGTAGTCTATTCAGTAAAGAAAATTAATCAAATTGAGACTCTACCGTCAGCTTTTTCTGCCTCTGTGTTTAGTCATTTATATCAAAATGTAAAAATAGATTAATTATCATAACTTGGAGGTTTTGTGGCTGTTTTCCTTTTCAAAATTGATTTCAGCACTGGCTTTTCAGCGACCATTTGCCACTAAGTTGATGAACCCAGGGTAGATGGACTTTATGAACTGAGATTTGTGGAGGGATTTGGACTGTTGTGCTCCCGTCATTGTTGTTAGCACTGTGTTGGCTCCTTACTTGCCTGATGCTATTATACTGTAAATGTCAGGGGGAGAGCCACAAGTGGATTGTCACAGTGGGCACCTGCTATAAGCCACCCAACCAGAAGGAAGAGGTAAATGATGCCTTCTTTAAACCTAGCAGAAGTTTCCAAGTCTCATGGGGGATTTTGATTACTGTGACATCTGCTGGAGGGAAACACAGCAATATACAGACAGTTCAGCAAATACTTGGAGTGTGTTGGGAATAAGATAGTTCTTCCCCCACTGTGATAGAGAAAATAGAAATATAACTTCAGCCCTCATGACTAAAGTCAGCTACCAGATCATGACTGCAGTTAGCAGCCAAATGAGGGAAAGAGACAAAAAGCCTAGAGTAGCGGAAGAACTAAGGAATCCTTAATTTAGAGAAACTAGATGTTTTCAAATTAGCAGGGCCAGATGGGTTAAACCCTAGGGTAGTAAAGGAATTAACTGAAGTAATTTCAGATCCATTGGCTAGGATTTCTCTGAAATGAGAAATCTTGGAGGTTGGGTGAAGTTCTGGATGACTGGAAAAGTGCAAATATAGTGCCCATCTTTAAGAAGGGGATGAAGGAACATCCAGGAAGTTACAGACCAGGCAGTCTGACCTCAGTACCTTGAAAGATCATGGAGCAAGTTATCAAAGAGTCGGTTGCGAAGCATCTACAGGAGAACCAAGTGATCAGGAACAACCAGCGTGCATTCACCAAGAGCAAGTCATGCCTGACCAATCTGACTTCCTTTTGTGTGAAGGTAACATCCTCTGTGGAGGAGCAATGGCTGTGATATTCTTCGCTACTGTGATATACCAAGAGTCTGTCCTGGGACCAGTATTTTTTACCATTATCTTGGACAATGGGATTTGAGCGCATGCTCAGCAGATTTGCAGATGACACCAAGTTGGTTGGAGTTGCAGACACTCAAGAGAGTAAAGTTAAGATTCAGAATGGCCTGGATAATCTGGAGGGGCACTCTAAAATAATTAGATGAAATTCAGCAGAGACAAGGGAAAAGTCCTCCACTTAGAATGGAATAATTACAGATCCAACTCAAGACTGGAGAATAACTGGCTAGGCTGTGGTACTGCAGAGAAGGACCTGGGGGTTATAGTGGACCATAAGATGAATGTGTGCCAGCAGTTTGCTCTTGTTGCGCAAAAAAAAAAAAAAGCCAACAACATACTGGGCTGTAACAACAGCAGTCTCACTTGCAAATCAAGGGAAATGATCTTTTTACTCTATTCAGCACTTGAGAGGCCTTTCCTGGAGTATTGTGACTAGTTTGGAGCCCCACAATTCAAAAAAGATATGGACAGGTTGGAAGGAGTCCAGCAGAGGGGGACAAAAATTATTGGAGGCTTAGGAAACGTGACTGCTGAGGGTAGGCTGAAAAAACTTGTGTTATTTAGTCTGGAAAAAAACAGGTTGGTTAGGTGCTTGGCTGGAATGGTTTAGCTGGGAACAATACTCCCTTGAGCAGGGGACTGGACTAAACCTTGTGAGAGCCTTTCCAGCTCTGCTTTCTTACTATTCTGTATTTCATACCATGTTTCATTTTGGCACCAGACTCTTGTGTTCTTCTTTATGCTGCATGTTCCTCCAGCTGACTTGGTCTGTATTAACTTATAACAGTGGTAAAAATAAATGGAAGAAGGCTATTGAATACATGGTTGTTAATCTATGGAAAACAACATAGATGGTGTTCCATATGAGGACAGCAGTGCTCAATCCTCTGACCCTGCAGGCTGGATGAGTGATGTGGGGCCGTTCTGTAATTAGATCCAACATAAGGTCTGGATGTACAGTTGGGTCTGTGGTTGGGATGCATTGTTCAGGGTCTGGCCAGCCTGATGCATCACGTCTGCGGAGCAAGCTCATGTGCCAGCCCAGCTTTGTGTCATCTGGCCCTCAGTGCTCCCCAGGAGTCTGGAAATTTGGCAGCAGGGGACCAGCAACATTAACTGCTGTAAAATCTGCAGTAGTTAACTGCCTCCAAAAATCCAGACCCACTGGGAGCCCCAGGCCAGAGGTTAAGTACTGCTGCTGTGGAAGACCATTTACTTAAGAATGAACCACAGGATTCAGCCAGATGTGGTTTCTGGACTGTGCTGTGGTCATCTTTTATTTAGGTGTGTGTTAGATCAGTTTTTCTCTTCTCTTTCTTCTAGCTCTGAATTAGCGTGTGAAGAAAGCATTGCTCATGAAAGGATTGCTTGTACATTAAGGAGCTTTTATTTTTTTTAAAATTACCCTTTGATATATGCTAGGCTTTGAAAAGTAAAACTTCTCAAACCAAATAACCACAATGAACACTATCGACTCACTACACTGTTCTCAGGATTGGTTTTCTCATGGAACAATCTTTTCTTTCTTTTCTTTTTTTTCTAACAGCATGAATTAAGTAAAATAATGGCAGCTACTGAGAAGCATAATTCTGTGGAACCTGGAATCTCAAAACTGCAGTTTGTTCCCTTTACTAGTGCCTTGGATGCACGATTTTGGCATGAATTGACCCAGAAGAAACTCAATGAATACAGATTAGATGAGTCTCCAAAGGTTATCAAAGGATATTATTATAATGGTAGGCAAAAATGAGCTGTTTTACCAAATGTACTGGCTTTTCTCCTGTCCTTTTCCTTTATGTATGTTATAGGATTTATACAGCATATACCAAGCCTTCCACAGAAATATTAAGGTAAATAAAGCAGTGATTCTCAACCAGGGTGATGTGCGATCCGTTTAAGATTGCTGTGGGGTGCCAAGGAATATTAGCACTGTTAAAGCAAATACTGACACAATTCACAAGATAAACCCCGAGATTCAGACGGGAATCCATAATGTCAAAAACACTCTGACCTGTTGTATTTCTGAGTTTTTTGCAACAGGAGAATTGCTCTATTATTTTTCCATAGTCAAAAAATGAATGACAGCGTGGAGTTGGCAATTTCTAAAGGGTACCTTGAGTATAAAAAAGGGGTGAGAACCACTGAAATAGGGAGAGGGCAAACTGAGTTGTGTATATTGTTGGTATGCCTAATGCGCAGGGGTCCTGGTTTTCTCTGCTTAAAAAATCACCAATTCGCTGCTTAAAAAATTGTAAATTCTCTGTTACAAACCCCCAAATCCATTATTAAAATAAAAGGCCCCCCACAGTCCTGCTGGTGCCCCTCATTCTTCCTACAGCCCCCTGGTTCTAAAGACCAAAGGCAGACACCCCCCCCCACCCCGGACAAGCTTCCCACGGCCCTGTCCCGCTCCCTGCTGGTGCCCTGCAGTCGCACGCTGCAGCCCCTGTCCCAGCCCTGCCCAATCTCCCCTCCCCCCTCACATGGGAGCTCAGTACCCCCACCCCTACCTACTTACCTGTGGGAGCTGCTTTCCAGGCTGCTTGGGGCCATGTGTATGTGTGCGCGCACATGCATATGGTTCCCCCTGTCTTACCACCCTCCTACTCCCTTCCAGCTCCTTGAAGGCTGGAACTGGATCCCTGCTAACATGAAACTATATGAAAAATAATAGATTGGCTTCAGCAGGACCAGGACAGGGTACATGACTGAGGAATTAAATTAGATCTGTTGCTCCTTTGTCACATGGCTACTTTTTTTAAAGCATATTTGTTTTTATGCAGGTGATCCTGTTGGTTTGCCAGCTCGTTTAACACTGGAATTTAGTGCCTTTGATGTGTAAGTACCTTTAAAGGATTTGAAGTGTGTTAACCCTTTGCATAACAAGAATCTTTGCTTGTATCACAATAACAAGTAGAAGCTAAAAATTAGGTACTTTTATTTGCCTAAAATAAGTATACGTGTTAATAATTGTCCTTATCCAATGGACACATAGCTCTGGATCTCAAATGTTAGGTGAGCTGTGTTTTAGAATGGGAGTAAGCTGTCTGGAATTCTGTAGTCACAGTAAAATTTGCTAAAAGCAAACATTACATTGTCCCTGGACAAGTTGTGCCTGTTTCTGTCCTGGAAAAGAAATATCCTGGAATTAGCATATATGTACATCATCTTTCCAATCAGGATAAATGCACTACTGCTTTTTTGCCATTGATTCAAAGGAAGCAATCCCAAGACAACTGTTCAGATGCACTTTCAATGCCCAGGATAAATGGTTAATACTTATCTCATGAACCTTTTTAGGATTTATCCCAGGACAGTGCACATAGACAATTGCACTTTGTCCCAGGATAAATTGCTTTGTCCAGGGACAAATGTAATATTCCAGTACTACCACTTTCACTTTTTAGCACCTTTCCATTAATGGTTTCAAAAAGAGATGCTTGCTGTTCATTCCATAATTTGTCCTCTGAAATTTTCTCACTTGGGCTTTTATTTAATGCAGTTGCCTGATAATAACTGAAAAAAATAATGTTCTAGGCTTGCTCTCTATCCAAAAGCAGAACCTTTTTTCAAAAGGTAAGGCAAACCTCCTTAATTTGTATGTATGTATGTATTTATATACTTATTGACTTATCTGAAAATGTTAATACAACATTTTTGTCCCCCACCCCAGCACCTAATTTGAAAAAGCAAAAATAAGAAATTTGGGTTCTGCAAGCAATTCTGTATGGCCCTCTACTCAAGTCATGGGGTTATTTGCTGATGTAGCGGTTCATCTAAACTAGGGGCAGGCAAAATACAGTCCACAGGCCAGATTCAT